TATTTAGTTTTGGCACAAATCTTGAAAAATGTTCATATCATAAAAAAATATCATTTAAATATGTTCACACATTCAAAATTATGTTTCATGTCATTTTTCTAGAAAATGTTCACGCACATTTAAAAAATTGTTTGTGTAATTTGTAAAAAAAATGCTCATACCATTTTAAAATATATGACTTTATAAATTGCCTGCATGTTAAAAAATATGATCATGACATTTTAAATACGTTCACACAATCTTAAAAAATTTATTCACGTAATTCATAAAAAAAATGTTCATGCCATTCAAATAGATATGACATTTAAAATTGTTTGCATGTTTAAAAATATGCTCATGTCATTTTAAATATGTTCATACAATCTATAAAAAAATAAAATATCAAAATGTCCGTGTTATCAGAAAAATGTTCAACGTGTGTATAAAAACATTCAATATGTATTAAAAGAATTGATCAATGTGTGTATAAAATATAGAACATATATACAAAAAAAATCCAGCCCGGCAAGGTGTGCATAAATATGTATTAAAAATTGCCACGAATTCGAAAATTGAATAACAAAAAAATAAAGAACAAAAAGGGAATGGACAAAGAAATATACAGAAAGGAAAAACGCATGAAACGTTTCCAAAACCGGACGGCAAGATGTGCCTTTTTTTCTTAGAAGAGGCAAGATGCGATAATGCATAGGAGTGGACGAGCTCGCATGCTCACGGAATCGTTGAGCACTCGTTTCCGTTGGGATAAGAGCCGTGTCAGGTATTGTCGCATGAGAAAACGTTTGGGGCCGGGGCACCGGCCGAAGCTTCGGCCGGTCCAGTCCACGCGCGCACGCCGCAACCCAGTCGCGAGCAACCACGTGGCGCTGCGGATCTCGCGAATCTCGCCTCATTCCTGTCTCGCAGCTCCGCGGATCTCGTCCCCATCCTCATCTCCTGCAGCGCCGGCGCCCACATCTCGCCGTCGGCCATGGAAGGTCGAATCCCCCGCGCGTCCATGGATGTCGATCTCACCCCGCCATGCTTTACAGCCCGTTTCGCCATTGGATGCAGCCCGTTGACCAATCCCCATCCCCGGCGGTTGCAACTCCCACACGTCTCGTGCTTCTGCCTCGCCGCCGACGAGCCGGACGGCGATGGTCGACACCGGAGGCTTCTGCAGAATCGTCGCACCCCCTCATGTTGCAACCGTTTAAAAAAAAGCTTCATCCCCTAGATGAAAAGCTTCAACCGGATGTAGAGAAAGCTACAAGCGGTCAGCGCCATCGCCGGAAAGCTACAACCGTTGACATGAAATGCTACATCCTTCGATTAAAAAAGCTTCAACCGAAACGGCACAAAAAACCTTGACCAAGTGCTGCTAAAAAGAAAATAGCTACAACTTTTGGTAAAAAAAGCTTCAACGGTTGTTGGAAAAAGCTCCCACCATTGAGAGAGAAAGCTACAACTAGACACTATGAAAATAAGAAAGCTTCAACCAGCGACGGCTGAAGGTGGAAGAAGATGATAAAATGCTGCAGTTTTGCTACATGCTTCAACCGGCATAGATTTTTGCTACAACTGGCATAGCATTTTGCTACAACTAGCGTCACGTTTTGCTACAACACACAGCCGGCGTCGCGGTTTTGCTACAACTAGCATCGTTTTTTGCTACAACCGGCATAATGTTTTGCTACATCCATCATGGCTGAGCTGCGACCCAGCACGGGTTTCCGTGAATTCTGGCGGCGAGATCCAGCACGGGGGGCAGGCGTGCATGCTGCAACCGGTCGCCGGCGAGCTGCTACGGGCTCGCGGCGAGCTGCAACCTCGACCGGCCGTAACGGAGCTCGAGCCCAAATCCATGGCGGCAAGGAGGTCATGACGTATGTAAGACATGATTGAAGCAATCCCAAGGCGGCTTGATAGGTGGGGGAGCTCCTCGTCGACGTGATTCGGCCGCGGGGAACGAATAACAGGCGGATCTAGCCACCGCCGCCGCGGATCGGGGACGGTCAGTCACGGGGGGATCCAACTCCCTGTTTTTCTTCTTGTGCCTGTTCGTACACGATCGCAACAAAACTGTTCTTTTTTGCTGCAACGGTTGCTTCAGTCTGTGTATGCGCGCAGATCTAACGGTCCATGCAAACCGCATCGGACGGCTGGGCCTCGACCGGCCCAACTGTTGGACCGGTGCGCCGGCGCAGATCGCTGCCCTTGTCGCATGTATACGAATTGGGGCTTGGGCTGAATAGGTACTGCTGGACCCACACGATTAACTGACGGACGCTGATGTGCGTAGGAAAATGATGTCCTCGACCGAGATGTGCCATCTGAACGTTTTCACAGCCTACGCCGTACTTAACGGCGTGTCGCGACTCACGAGCGAGGCGGTGTCGGGTGGGCTCATCTGCCTTTGCGTCCACACTTGCCGGCCATGCTGACACGCGTGCAGGAGGATTACAAAAACAGAATCACCTGTCATTTACAATCTGTTCGTTAAAACACGTAACACTCTGCTCGATCTCACGCGTGAAATGGTAGTCAACTTGGTAATCCTCTAACCACACCAACTTGCTAAACACAAAGGAGATGCACTAGGGTGCACCGCTGACACAAAGGATGGGGTGACAGGTCAAATGCGCGAGGCAGCATTCTCGGACAATTCATAACCTAGTTTATGAAAGATATTTGGAGCATCTACAAGTGGACACCACATCCGGAGAGCAACTAGTTGACAAGCGCATCTTCCGGAGTCTGGCAATGATCACTTCCGATGGGCTAAGAGCGCGCCACTTGGGTTTTTAGATGTTTTTTTATTTTTTTATTTTTCGCACACGTTTTTGCTTTTAATGTTTTTTCTGGAATTTTTTAATTTTTCTGTTTTCATACATCTTTTGCACGAAAAAACTTTTTTTTTGCTTCCTTAAGAGTCATGGTTTTACTTTCCAGAGAGGCACGGCCATGTCTCTCGGAAACGAGAAAAAAAAACTGTTTTCTCTTCTTCTTTTTTCCGTGAGGCACGGTTTTTCATCCGCGAGAGGCACGGTTTTGCTTCCATGAAAAATGGAAAGAAGATTATTTTCTTCCTTTAATGAGAGCCACGATTTTGCTTTCGCGAAAAACCGAAAAAATCCGCATTTTCTCTTCTTCTTTTTCTGCCTCTCGGAAACAACTTCCGAAAAGGAAAAAAACTGCTCTCAGTTTGGTTTTGCCATCTGTTTTTTGGGGAAAAAGTTTTTCGAAACCTACCAACATGATATCTAGTAATGCCTCGACGTGAGGAATCCAACGGTGAAAATGATTCGAGATTTGATGAGTTTATATTGATGTGTCAAGCATGTTTTTTGGTTTAATTATTTGTGAAGTTGAAATGTTTCATCGACGTCATGGTGAAGATATTCTGTTCCCAACGATCTCTTCTTGAGGTGAGGTGGTAATACTTTCAGTCACTCTTATTTCTGGGCAGCATGTTCCTCCAAAGGTATCAACAATGTGCAGGAGTTGAACCAAAGGGTGAGGTTGCTAGCTCCTTGCTACTGTTTCATTTGTTTTTTCTAGGCATTACATACATAATTGTAACACGGCCTAAGGGCAACTCCAACGCGGCGAACCAAACGAACACGCCTTTTGTTTGTTTGGGTCGGCCGAGTGGGCGAGCGCGTCCATTTTTAGGTTTGGGTTGGCCGGTGCGCCAACGGATAGCAAATCCATTTTCCCCGCGTCAAAAAAAAGTTTCGAAACATGCGGCCAAATGAACTTAATTAAACATTAAATGGTCGGCCAACCACCGGCAAAGTCCACTTAAACATTAATAGAACTTAAAAAAACATGCACGACCAACGTGCTGCCCTAGGCGTCGTCGTCCTCCCCGGGGCCGGTGAGGTCGATAACCGCCGGCGCCGGCCTAGCCCAGAAGAAGGCGGTCTTCCACGCCTCATGCGCCTCCTCCACCGTCTGCCCCGCTGGCGGCTACAGTGCTGCTGCGCGGGTGCGCTGCTCCTTCCCCCTCTCCAAGCGCTCCTCCTCCGCCTCCCATGCCAAGCGGCGCTCCAGCTCCATCTGTCGCTTGCTGTCGGCGCGCTCGTCCACCAATGCGCGTGCCCTTCATTGTTGGAGGTACGAGGCCTCCTTCTCCAGCGTTGCCTCGAGCCACATAGGCGACGCGTTGATCCACTCACGAAGCTTGCCGGTCCACTAGTACCGCTCCGGCTCGGGCTCAGTGGACGGCGGCTCGGCCTTGGGCTCGGGGAGGAACTCCGCCGGCGACGGCGGGGGGATGACGTTTTGGGTCCACGCGTTGGGCCGGTGCTTTGGTCCGTTTTGAGCCAAACGGACATGCCCGGGCAGTTTGGGTCGCCGCGTTGGAGTTGCCCTAAGCTTTCTAGAAATATATACACCAATTTAGGAAATTTGGATATGTTCTAACTCATTTGAATTTGAATATGTTTTAACTCTTCACAGCGGGGAGATATATTGATGCCTTGAGTTATGGTTGTTATAGTGCCAGATCTTCTTTTCTTCCGTTAGAATCCACACATCTTTTTGCACCTCAACCAATCCTTAGTGTGAAAATTCTAGCTAATCTAGCAAGTTCATGAGCCACCTGATTCACTTCTTTATTAGTGTCCAAAACTAGTGAGAGAAAATCACAGGAAAAAAATAATAACGATCGTCAAAAATCACCGCCATCGCTCCAGCAGATCCTCGTCTATCTTTATGGTGGCGATGACCTCCGAATTATCATAATTAATTATCAGACAGTTGTAGTCCGCCTTTTAAGACGTGTGATACTCCAATCCTGACATTTTTCGATGGCAATTCCAGTCACACAAGCATGACAATTTTAAGGCCAGTTCTTTTGTCGGCTTAAAAAATAAGTCACCTTCTTTCCGGATTTTTTCATAAGCCGTCTCCCTTATTGAGTGGTCCTTCTAAATTAGTTACTGAACTTGCTGTAAAAAAAAGGTTCGGAGTTGCCATAGGCTCATACCTTGGCGTTCGGTACTTATCAGGTCCTTTTAAATTGAAACAAGGCTTGGAATGTAGGGAATTACAGAAACGGCATACATTGTATCCCTTTGGTACTCGACGACCTCGTGGTCGTGGCGGTGATACTCGATACGTCGCATGTTGACTATGTCGCCGTAACCCGGCTCACGACCCTGCCGACGGTAGCACCAAAGGTGCGACGGTCCGACGCGTAGCAGTATGGCACCGGCGGACGCGGTCACCGGACGAAGAGACCGGTGCCCATGGAAAACACAGGCCTCGACGAGGTGACGCCGCTCCCACCGTGCGCCGGCAAGGTCGCCGCACGCCCACATCTCCACCGACCCGATGCCAGGCCTCGGGCTGCCGGCGCACAGCCACAGCTCCCCGCGCAGCTCGGCCATGCTGGACGCAGCGTAGTCAATCCTCTTGTCGCAGGGAGGCCCTGGCGTAACGCCGAACAACTCGTCGTCTAGGCTGAGGTGGATGAAGCCCGGCGCCTCTTTGCCGAGGACCCGCTCGTGGGGGGTGAAGAGGAGCGAGCCCTTGAAGAATGTCGCCGTGCGCCCTGGTATGACGGGGCACGGCGGTGGAGCCGGCGTCTCGCGCCATTGCTGGTCCGCCCCCCCGCCGCCGCCGAGGGTGAGCACCTCCGCCCCGAGGGCGTAGGTGTAGGTGCAGCCGCCCGCGTAGAGCTCGACCTCGTCCAGTGAGCGGTAGAAGAAGCGGGCGACCTTGTAGGCGCCTGAGCGGGGGTTGCGGCCGAGGCCGAACGCCTGGTGGCCCACGATCCGACCCGAGGGGAGCGGGGGCGGCGGCGCGACGACGGAGGGGAGCGCGAGGACGCGGGACGTGGCCGGGTTGAGCACGCGCGCGCCGGCGTCGGTGGGCACCAGCAGCAGCCCATCGCAGTGCGCGAGGTCGTGCGCCGCTTCCGTGTCGGGGTGGAAGGAGTGGTAGTCGGGCATGGCGTCCATCACGAGGGTTGCGGCGCCCTGGCCCTCCTCCAAGCGGTAGAACCCGGCAGTGGTTAGCGTGCCGTCGGCGGCCTCGATCTGCGGCGCCATGAGCACGCACGGGCACGGGTCCTCCGTCGCCGCGGCAGTCGCCGTCGCCATCGCCGGATCGGCCGGACTTGTTATGTATATTAGGTTTAGGCACGTAGCCGATCGTGCGCGCAAGTTGTCAAAGTGATGGATCCATCGGTTGGCTCCGTGTATATATGTATTTATTATTATTTATTATACTGTAGGGTTCGATCCAAAAGCAAACGCAGTACGGATCGATGTACTTGGTCTCCGAGCCGTCGAGGCCAATTCAAATCTCCATAATAAAATTCAAACAGGCTATTTTTTTGATTTTTTTGGGAACAAAAAAACAGGCTATTTATAATATTGGGAAAGTGTTAAAAACATCCGACTGATTTTGTCGGAAATCAACCGCGTCGCTCAAGCGCCACGCGTCCATCAGGCCACGCACCATCGCACCACATCACGTTCTCCCTTAGAGCATCTCCAATAGCCGCCCGAAAAGGCGCGCCGGGGTAAACCGAGTTTTTTGTGCCCGCGGAACGTTTCGTCGCGCTCCAGCGGTGGCGGGAAACTCGCGCGGGAACCGTTTGCGCGGGCGCTGGAAAAGGCGGCAGCTCGCGCGCTATTTTTGGCGCATCGCTTCCGGCGCGCCTTTAAATTGCGGCGCTCGCCACGCGCCTATTCCACACACTTCCCTTTCTCTTCCGCTGCCACGCACGCCTTCACCGCTTCCTCGTTGCTTCCGCTGCCACGCGCGCCCCCCACCGCTCCAGCGCCCCGCCACCGGCGCGCCACCATGCCGCCGCGCCGCCGATCAGCGTCGGGCTACCGCGGCGTCCGCCGGCGCCCCAATGGCGGTTTCTACTCCGAGATATGGTCCAGAGAACTTCGGCTCGGCCTTGGCACCTTCGGGACGGCGCGCGAGGCCGCCCACGCGTACGACGCGGCGACGTGGCGCCTAGGCAGGCCGCGCGCGCAGATGAACTTTTAGGACGTCTACACGCTCCAGCAGGCGCTGAACCGTGCCCCGCCGCCTCGTCTTAACACGGCAGAAGACCGTGCGGAGCACGTCGACCGGCAGCGCCGCCTCCTCGTCGCCCAGGAGGACGAGCGGGTCATGGCGGATTGGCGCCGGTGCCACCCGGAGGACGTCACCTACGAGCAAACCTACTGGGCAAGGCGCCGCGAGGAGGAAGAGCAAATGCGCCACGACCGGCGGTTGGACAGGCGTCGGCGGAAGGCCCTGACGATATCGCAGTGCGACATCGTTGAGAATGGTGGGCAGACGATCTTTATGCCTGACGATGATCATTGGACGGCCATATGGCTCGATACCTCAGACGACAGCAGCGAGGATGGTGATGATGATGATGGTGCCGTCGAATGGGAGTAGGTTGTAGTTGCATTATCTAGTAGTTTTTATTATCTATCTAGCTATGGAACTATGTAAAATATCTATGTATTGTTTTTTTATCTATGAATTTTATTTTAGTTTTATTAAAAAAATGTACGCAATGTATAGCGTGTGCTGCCTTTTTGCGCCGCCGCTGGAGCTACGCGCGCGCGCTCAATTTTCACGCCGCTGCTGGAGCCAGCGCTGCCGGCCGCACCAAACCAAACGAACGGCGCGCGGTAAATGAGTTTTTAGCGCGATCGCGCCGCTGTTGGAGATGCTCTTATTTCCAGCCGGTCACGGAAAGCCACTCATTCTTTTCCTTTCTGTTGGAGATGCTCCTATCCAATTCCTTTTCTCTCACCTATCTCTCTCTTGCAGACTGGCCGGCAACCACTAGAGCCGCCGCTCACCGCATGCTGCTGCTGCTGCTAGAATGCCACCATCGCACCACTACTGCGGCAAGTGTCTTCTCTCGCTTCCCCCCTCTGCGGCCTCAAACACACCGGCGCAGCGTCTCAACGCACGCTTGTGCTGCTGCAAATCGGCGGCCGGCGCTGTAACGAAAGTTCCTCGTCGGCGGTGGATACTACAATGCAACGACAGTGAAGGTGCAATTGAGCTTCGCCGGGGGCCATTGTTGCTGCGCTGGAGCTTTGCCTTGCCTCGCGGTGCCGCCATGGAGCTGCAATGGAGCATCAATGGAGGTCGTTGGTGCTGCAATGGAGCTTTGCCATGCCATGCGGTGCCGCCATGGAGCTACAATGAAGCATCTCCGGGGCTCGTCGGTGCTGCGATGAAGCTTTTGCCGCGCCGTGCCGTGCTGCCATAGCGCTACAACGAAGCGTCGTGGAGTTTGTCAGTGTTGCGATGAAGCTTTGCCGCGCCGCGTCGTGTAGCCATGGAGCTTTGTTGGGGGGCGTCAGCGCTGGCATGGAGTGCTGCGTTGTAGCTTGCCGGAGAGAGCGCCCAGGCTGCTAGTAGCCTGCTGCGAACTGTTCGCTGGCGGAGCATCGGTGGCAGCACCAGCGAAGTGCTGCGATCCAGCTCGCCTGGAGAGTCGCCGGGAAGAGTGATGGTACTGCAGTCAACGCCGTCCCCCGTAGACGCGGTGCGGGAAGGGAACAGGTCAGGGGCGCTGCTATTTTGTGGCTGCAATTGGTGGTCATGGCGCTGCTGTGCTACGATGGGGTGCACGGACGTGAGGAAGGACGAGATGATGTAGGGGAGATCGGACGGTTACGAGCTTGGAATCTGACGGCAGGCTAGGTGGATGATTTCTAGAGAAATCATTCGGTAAATTTGTAGCAGCCGCCATTTACTACGCACATATGCCTGCGCATTGCAACATGAGCGTACAACCATCCGCCAAAATTAATATCAGTCGCCAGTGCGACACAGGTGTCATTATTGGGGTACTTAACTATATCTAGGATGTGTTCTATCCATGAACCATGGGGCGACTCCGATTCAGGGCCTATTTGGTTTCAAATAAGTCACCAACTTATAAGTCGAAAAGTAAAAAAAAAGTGACTTATTTTGCCAAACAGACCCGACTTATAAGTCACCTCAACTTATAAGTCATAAGTTGCTTCACCCCAACTTAAAATTTATAAGTCATCCCCTTTTACGTGGGTCCCATCCCCTACATGATGTTGATTGGTGTGGAAATGTGTGTCAGGTGACTTATAAGTCAGGTGACTTATTGGAACCAAACAGACCCTCAACATCATTCAACCGTGCAAGCCAATAATCGATGGAGCGCAACATCCCCAAAGCAAATATGTATGCAAGGCCCTCCATTTAATTACGAGCTAACCACCACATGTATCCATGCAAGCCCTCACAATCCGATCAAATCACCATAGATGGAATTGCATCATGCAACATGCATTGACTTTCTTGGGGTGCGAATGGAACACTATTAGAACACTATTTGACGGATAGAGGAAACGTCGTAGGAAATTCGTCATGCATTAACAAGTTTCTTGTAGTGTTAAACAGAGTTATTACACTCCAGTTGACAGAGAACATCAACTTCCTCCAATGCACAATGCAACCAGACAACAGTCTTAGGGATAGTTCTCCCTATTCGGGCTAGGGAATGGCTTGCTTTATTCTGGTCACGCCCTATGATCATCATTTCATGCGATCTAGTACTAAGTAGATGCTTTATGTCGTTCATCATAGCAGCCATCAGGGATCTATCAGGATCTCTTGGGCAGTGATCATGTGCCTCCATGCAGCTCGCCTCGATCATCGGTCGATCCGTGCTTCTATCCAGAGCTAGAAACATCCCCTCCATGTTAGCTGCAATTTCAACATGGAATTGATCGATTGGATGCAAAGATGATGTCCCTTGTGTGGTCTTGAAGAATCATACCATCACCTCATGTACATTCCTCCTCCAATCACGACCGAGTGGCGGTGACATCCATCGCCCTGGAGGTTTTCGTTGCATCGTCATTTCATGTGCTCCCCCCCACCCTCGCCGTCCACCATAGGAGACCACCCTCTTCTCCTTCTCGACCGCAACCTTTGGATGTTGTTGTATGTTCAATAATGTATCGCTATAAGAACTGAGGAACCAACATTATGCTTCCACTGGCAGTGCTAGTTTGCCATGATATACCCCGTTCCGCATGTGCCAGTTCCGCCAGAGAGTCATGATGACAGGGAGCCAAACATCAGTAGTACATCCATCAAGCAAATGCATGATCCATTTTGTACCAGTGTTGGTCATAGTTTCCACCTTGGGAATTCTCTATATACCCACCATAGCCGTCCATGCATAGTCTGTGGCAAAGGGCGTCTGCATAGGGCGTGGAACAAGTCCTCGCATTCCAGACCACAAAGAACACCACACCGTTTTATTAGGATTTAACTAATCATCATAAAGCACATGCATTTTTCTTGATTTTAACAAGCGTGCATTATTCTTTTTTGATTTCGCACCTCATGGATCAAGTTTAGTTAGCCCACAAGTTCGTTTAATTAGATCTAATTGGACATCATAGACCACATGCACTGTTCATGGTTTTAAAAAACGTGCATTTTTCTTCTTTGACTACGCACCTCATGGATCCAATTTAGTTAGCCCACCAGTTCATTTAATTAGGATCTAACTAACCATTATAGGAATGCATCATGTTCAATCAGCCCACCAGCATAGCATGTATAGAGATTTAGGGTGACCGTGCGTGCAAAGCGCGGGAGCCGACATGCATGTGATGTTGTGACCGACTTAATAGTCATGTCTTTTTTTTTCTTGTGTATCATCATGTCCCACAACCCCGCCTTTGATAATGGGGGTTAATGCATTTGATGGTGCAACGTCCTCCTTTGAAGCTGGTCGTAATGGTAGTATTATAGTTAGTATCATGCATGTCAACTAGGCAATTTTGATGAGGTATTATAGCATTAAATGAAGAAAGAGAGGGTGGGATATCATATCATGATACCATATCATAATAAATGATATGCTACTTTGTATCATGTAGGTCAATAAATAGAGTACAACATGATACTAATATATGATACTATGCATTAGGAA